GAATGTAGAAAAATAATAAGAAATAATAAAAACAATAAGAAGAAATAATAAGCAGGAAGACTAAATAATATAAAAAAAGAAAAATAATAATAAGGATGAAAAATAAAATGAAATAATAATTGTCGTTGGTCAAATATCAGCTGAAAACAAAAACCTGTGGTTCAGGTGAAAACTACCACCTGAACGATGTTTAATCAAATATTAACGGGGGTGTATGTAAATATTTGAGCCATTAAACCTCTTCTCATTCTTTTCCAATTACCCCTGAAGGCATCGTTATTTTTGCCTGTGAGAAACCAGAGGAACCTGCGCCTGCGTCCTTTGCAGACGCAGCACATCCAGTTTACTTTGAAAAAACTGTGGTTTCCAACATCACCTGAATGCAACACGAGGATAAAAATTCTTTCCTTGAAACCTGAAGTAAACAGATTTTTCAGCTGCTGCTTCTCTACGCTCAGACCTTTAATAGTCAAGAGTCTGTGTTGATGACGAGGAGATGTTGCTGAGCAACAACGAGCCGTTAATGATGGTGGCAGGTTTACRTTCAGAACTGCTCGCAGTCCTCGATTTATTTATTTTTATTTCTTCATCCAGAGTCAAACTGGTCTCAGAGTAATTTAATTTGTTTGTCAGGACTCTGACCTTTGACCCCCCCAAATCATTCAGGCGTCAAGAAATAACTTATCAGACAACATTTTGATGTTTATGTCTCTTTGTTATCAGCAGTTAGTTTAATTTATAACTGTATAACAGAAAAATGGATTTTAGCTCCAACAGTGATTCTTCAGCTGCTGTCTGATGAAAACGTGTCACACAGCCGATAAACAGAAGGTTCTGTGTGAGTTTGTTTTGTTTTAAATACACACGTTTCAGAAAGTGCTCATTGTTTCAGGTCGGCCACTCCTCCTTTTGTCCTCCACCTGTCCGGTTTCCTCAATTTAAACCACAACATGTGACTGAAGCAAAGGTTTACCACTTTAACTGGACTGAAACAGAGTAAAACAGCTGCTAAATATACAAAAATAAACTTGTAAAACATCTGGAGACTGGTTGATCCAGACATTAATCCACTAAAACTGGAGCTAAAAAACAAAACAGCAAAACCACAACTTAAAACTAAAAGGAACAAAACTGTAGCTGGAAGTAAGAGGAAATATAGCTAAATGTATGCAAAAATGAAAATTAGCTAACCTGTAGCTAATAGGTAACACTAGCTAATAGGTAACACTGTAGCTAATAGGTAACTCTGTAGCTAAAAGGTAACTCTGTAGCTAATAGGTAACACTAGCTAATAGGTAACACTGTAGCTAATAGGTAATATTGTAGCTAATAGGTAACATTGTAGCTAATAGGTAACTCTGTAGCTAATAGG